TCAGAGATGATAAGGCTGAGATACTCTATCCGCTCCTGCTTGAACTTACACTTCTCCGGCTTTAAGAAGAGTCTCCGCTTCCGCAGCGTCTCTAGGACCTCTCAGATGACTCTTGTCAGGGCTCGGTCCTTGATCGGGGACAGCCTGACCTCAGCCCTAGGTGTGTGCGGTGTTCCGGGTGCCTGGGCACTAGACCCTGTCCTCAGCTCCTCAAACTCACTGAAGGGACTAAGTGGGGACTGAGTTGTCATGTATTACAGAGGGTAACTACAACTTGCCTAAGCAGGGACTGAGTTGAGAAGAAGGGTAAGTTTCCCTATTCCCCGCTTGGCTACTATAAAAGGGAAGTGTACTGTACAGTTCATAACGTGACTCTGGGTAGAAGCCGAGCATGTTCCCGCAACTCGGAAAAGGTGTCACATGGGTTAAGGCGAGTTGCTCGCCTTGACCCACGTGATTTTTCCCGCGGGCTCACATGCGGGCTGAAGTTGTGAGAGATATGTAGGGATGGGGAGGTCAGGGAAGAGGGGGAAGTCTGGGAGGGTGGTTCTGGGGTGTGGTTGGGTGCCCTGACAGTGGGGTCAGGGGCTGATCCCTGACAACTCTCCAGTGTTCCTCTAGGGTAGCTGTGAAGATCAAGATGTCGTCCATGTAGCAGATGACGACCTCTCGATCGATGAAGTCTCAGAGAATGTCGTTCATCATTGTCTGGAATGTCGCTGGGGAGTTACACAGGCTGAAGAACATGATGGTAGGCTCGAACAATCCCCTGTTGGTCGAAAACTCCGCTTTCCACTCATCGCCGTCCTTGATGCGGACATTGTTAAATCCCCAGCACAGATCTAGCGCCAAGAAGTATTTGGCGTTTCAGAGGTGTGCAAGGATGTCCGAAATGAGTGGGAGGGGATATGAGTTTTTGACCATGATCTCATTGAGCTTTCGGTAATCTTGGACTAGGTGCAACAATCCATCCTCCTTCCTGACGAAGAAGACTGGCGCTCCCATCGGGGATTTGGACGCCTGTATGTGCCCATTCTGCAGGTTCTCGCACAGGAACTCGTCTAGTTCCTTCTGCTCTGGCCGTGACAGGGGGAAGGTCCTCCCTCTTGGGAGCTTGGCATCTGGCACTAGGTCTATTGCGTGGTCCCAGGGCTTCCGTGGAGGTAGCTGGTTGAAGGCCTCTTTCGAGAATACATCTCTGAAGTCCTGGTATTGTTCTGGGACTAGCGCTTCGAACGGTGCCGGCTCCGCCTCTGGCTCGCAGGCCTCCTGGGCCATCCGCTGGGATGGCGTCGTGGTCGCTCTCAGTTCGTGTCCCCACCCCGGAGGGATGATAGCAGCGTAAATCCTGTCCCCAGGTTCCACCACAGGGTCTGGGTCAGCCTGTCCTCACACTGACTGGCAGGAGGATGGGCAGTGGGACATACTGACCTTTTGCTGCGTCCAGTCTACCTCTGGGTTGTGGTGCAGCAACCACGAGTGTCCTATGATGAGGGACTGCTGCCCAAGGTTCGCGACAGCGAAGCGGGCCCGCTCCATGTGCCACCCGAATGTCAAGAGGGCCTCTAGTTCTTCAGTTATGGCTCTGTTCTCATTTGGGGTTCCGTCGACATTATGAATGGGGATGGGTTGGGGGAGCAGAGTTGTCTCGAGCCTATGCTTCCTAATGAACTTGGGGCTTACAAAGTTCCCGGTGGCTCCCGAGTCTAGGAGCACTGATACAGAGACGGTGGCGAGGGAGGTCAGGGTGGTCAGCTTTACAGCCATGTTGAGGGATCTGGGGGGTTGCTTGGACAGCACGTAGATGGCGGGTGGCAGGACCGCTACCTCTGGCACCACACTTGGGGCTTCTTTGCCCTTACTACTCAAGGATGCGATTTTCCTCTTCTTCTTGGCGATGACTCGGTGGAATTTGGACGTCGGCACTGGCTTAAGTGCCTCACAGTATCTACACGAGCTACTACTATCGCCTGCAGGCGGCCGGGGCACGTCCCTCACTGGTCGCCTTCCTGAAAATCCTCTTGGGGCTCCATCTCTTGCCCATCTCCTCCCTCTGTTTCTGGTTCGTCTACCAACTGCCTTCTCAGCCCTTCCATGAGTGCCCTAAGGTCCTCTGGGTGCATCCGCCTGGCTCGGCGGATTTTCGGTTGCGGGCAGTCTCGCGCAACGTGCCCTGGTGCATTGCAGTTATAGCACAGGCCAATCTGTCTTTGGTCTATCCTCGAGCAGTCGAGGTCCATGGGCTGTGGTCCTCCTCCCGCTGCAGGGCGTGCTGCAGGAGGCGGCGGTGCAGCGGTGGCTGGGGGGCGTAGTGGTGGAGGAGCTGGGCGCACTTGCGGGTGGGAGTTGGGGTCTGACTGGGGGCAAGCGGGGCTGCATTGCCTGGAAGCGCTGCCACTGGTTGTCAAGGAGGGTGGCTTCGCGTTTCCACTCAGCCCAGGTAGTCGGCATGGGGTGGAGGTGGTAGATGCTCTCTCGGAGCCGGGAGTTGATCACCTGTTCAAAGCGGTCTACTAGCCCTACGTCTCCTAGCCATGAGGTGGGGCCGAGGATCTTGAACTCTTGGATGACCTTGTCCACAGAGTCGGTGCCTTGTCGCAAGGTGGCCAGCTTCTGCCTGGCCGTGGCTTCACGGTTTGGGTCTTGAAACATGGCGTCAAGTTCCGTGTTGAACTCATCCATGGTAAGCCTGGGGGAGCCCGTTGTCAGCAGCGCGATGGTATGCTGCATTGCCCATGCTCCCGCAGTCCCTCCCTTCATGTAGGACAGGACAAAGAGGATCTGGGAGAGGGCGTTGGGAAACTCCGCCACCCGAACATGGAAGTAGATGCCACATTCAGCCTTGAAGCGGTCAAGGTCTTCGGTTGCTCCAGAGAAGGGGGTGGGGGGGCAACTTTGGGCGGTTTGGGTCTGGGGGCAGGTGCGGGCGCTGGTGCAGGTGCGGGCGCAGCTGGGGGTTGGTTCTGGACTTGGCTCTCTACGATAGCTTGGAGCTCTTGGAATCAGGACAGCAGCTCATCATACTGCTCTTCGGTCACCATAGCGGGGGAGATGGGGAGGCAGGGGAAATGAGGTTAAAGCCTTCTTCTGCTGTCAGGGACAGCTCCAAAAGCCGTGAGGTCCCGGCGCAAGGGACTTGATGGGACAGGTGTTGGCTATGCGTAGCGGTGGTCCCGTCGTGGGGTGAGCATCCCTGACCACTTAGGCTGAAGTGGGAAATCGAGTTATCATTAAAAGGGAAAAGCTATGGTACTTACCTGAAGTGGGAAATTGAGAAGAAGGCTGCTTCTTCTGTTCCCACCCCAGGCGCTATTATATACATGCAGTTAGGGTCATGTGGAGGAAGCCACGTCATCTCCGCACACAGCCGCACCTCCCCGGGTGTCTCCGTGGGAGGTCCCGGAGGTGGCCGCTCAGTAGGCGGGAGTGTGTGTGGCGCGTGCGGCGATCAGGGGAATGGGGTTAGGTATGTAGTGGTACATGGAGAAAAGGGAAATCGACCATAGAATAGAAATAGAGAGAAAAGGGGAAAAGTGAGAAAGGAGGGATGGGGAGTGATAGCGGGGGAAGCAGGGTAGGGCAGTACGGTGCGGGGTGCGGTGTGGGGTCAGGTGGGTGTGCCCTGACAAGTATACATCTCATGCCCCACATAGTGTGAGGACAGGCCAGATGGGGGTTGAGGTCAGGGAGCCTCCAGATCCGAGGCTGGGCCCTGACACTGTGCAGAGTGATGAATGAATATATTTGTGGATAAGTCCAAAAAAAAGAAGAAAGGGTGACTTGTTCCCACAAGTTACATGGTCTAGCCAAGTAAGCTTGGTCAGCCCAAACCTTCCAGCAACATCCGGAAGAGGTCACACACTAGTGCCTTCATGAAAGGTCGGTTGAGGTTCCAACTTGGTGTTAACCCTTGCTATCCTCAAGCTGTCTGGAATCTTGGCAGTATAGAGCTTTGATTAGACAGGGGAGGAGAAGAGTGAAAACCTGTTTCACCCCTCCCGCAATATTGTTTACATCGAGGAATAAAAAGGAATAAACAGATAATAAAGAAAGCGTGCACAAGCACGCATCACCACCCTGAGACCCATCCCTTCCTTATGCTTCGGCAGTATATGCGCTGCCCTCCAACACCTACACCAACCCCTTAACGGAATAACCGCTTGCTCTAATGCTAAAGCTCAGTCTCAAGCTAATGCGCGAGAACTGAAATATTACCTAATGCTAAAGCTATAAGGTAATATACAATGAGTTACAATGTATAAGAAATCAGAGTAAAAGAATATTGTAACTAACCTCAGTCTCAAGCTAATGCGCGAGAACTGAGGGAAAAAGGAAACTAATCCAAATGAATGAATATAGTTTGTGGACTTCGCGGATAAGTCCGAAGTGACTAAAATAGATAAGAAGAAAAAGGTGTTGTGACCAAGTAGTCACGCTACCGCGGGAATGTGGCTGTCCGGGCGAGTTCCTCGCTCGGATGTGGGAATGTGGCTGTACGGAAACTCGTCCGGCCTCCCATAGCACACGGTTCCTCCAACACCCCTTACAAGATCCCATCAAGAGGGATCTGATTTTGACAAAATAATGCTTAACGGTTCGGAGAATCCCGCTATTTGTCTTGGCGTGGGCCCGCTTTTAACTCCATATTTAGCATCGTCTCGTGATCGCGGGGCTGGCAGGCCGCTGTCAACTTCCCCGTTTATTGTCTGGTTTATTTTTGAGCCCGTTATCTAAATACATAGTTGATGCTTGGACGCGCGCTGACACTCTGGATCCGTAAGTGTCCCAGTGTTCGATTTAAAAGCTCTGAAGCGCCGAGTGAAATGCTTAATTTTGGCCGAGACGAAAAACCGCCCACCTTGCTTCCGTGTGTTATTTCCTATTTCAAATGGGCCGGTAGATCAACAAGCAATCACGGTTTTTTCCATCGGGTTACATAACTAGTACTTACATCAAAGTTATGTCCTTCACCCTCATTCCTCCCTCTTGAAGTTCAACTGATGATGCAAACATCCCGTGTTCTCACTCTGTTCGGCTGGCTTCTCATACTGACGATCTCAGTGTTAGCTGCACCACTCAAGATCAGTCTGAATATTCCTGAGGTGGTAGATGACCTCGCCGAGTTTTCCGTGCAAGTCAAGGTCTCCAACGTCGGCAAGAAGCCTACCCATTTGTTGCATGATCCATACTCAGTGCTTTCTCCGGAGTGGGAGACAAACATCTTTGACATAGTTAAGGATGACGGAAGCGTCCCTAAATTTACTGGTAATGAGGCATGTACATTCGCTCAGTCAGCCATGTGCAGTCCCTCTGAATTAACTTGCTATGGCAGGTTAAATGGTCCCCAATGTTAGCTGCTCTCGGCGACGAGTACACAACGTTCCTTCCTGGTGCGTACGAAGATGTCCTTTTCATCTACATGCTCATTCTGACCACGCCTCCTCCTTTTCGACGTATGTTGAACCAGGCCAGTCCCGCACCTACGTCCACCAACTGGGCAAGAGCCGATACGATTTCGCAACCCCTGGCTCAGAGGGGGACTTCTTCGTCTCGCTCAACCGTCTTGGCCAGAGGCTTACTCATATCCATGACGTTAATGACCCTTCCACACACGAAACTGTGGTGTATGGCGTGAAATTGGTTCGAAGCCCGTCAACGAGAATCCTTGGAAGTACCGTCCTGGCTAAGCGCTCCGTCGGCCTTGAGAAACGTGCAAACTTTGCCAAGTGCGCGCTCTCTTCGTTGTCCTGCGGTAGCTTCTGAACCTGACGCTCTTTATGTTTTTCAATGATTGTGGAGGTTAGCTGTGACGTCTCCATGCAAACCCAACTTCAAGACCTTGTTGTCCCTGCTGCACAGACCTTAGCACAGCAGGCATTTAACTACATGGACATCCTGATCAACCAAACCACGTCTCGGGCTAGGCTCTCGCCTCGCTACCATATATGGTATGGAAATTATACGAGGTCAAGAGGACTTCGAGTGAGAAGAATCTTCCAGGTGAGTTTCGGCATCTATCATCACCCATCTCCTCGTTTAACGCAGCACTAACATGGAATACATCGCCGATCCATAGTCCATGCAAGATGGTCAATTGTCAACCAACACCTATGATTGCTCGTGCACAACATCGGGGTCGTATGGCTATGTGAATAATGAGTTTGGCACCGTTTACCTTTGCCCAGGGTTCTGGACTGCTCTCCCTGTAGGATCGAACTCCCGCCCTGGGTTGTTGATCAACCTTATCAGTCAATTTCGTCAGAATGGTGGAACAATGCAGCTCGCGACAGGCATAGCAGCATGCCAGGCCCTCGCGAAAACAAGCCCAAGGAATACCACGAGGAACGCCGAGTAAGTGCTATTGTCCTTTGTTTACCTTCTTTTTGGTTTCAGATGACTAATGGCTGTCTGAATGCGCAGCTCTTATGAGTATTTCGCAGAGAATTTCCCTCCTCTGCCCTGAGGGGTGTGGCCGTTTGTTGCATTTGGTTCTGGCTTTGTTCTGTCCTCGTCATGATTCGACGGTACTGTTCATCGCCTGCGTTGAAGTCCTGATTCTTTCAAATAGTTTCTCTCGTTCATTCTGTTTCGGCTTTATTTAGTTCCTTGACGTATGGATCTTCATTCCATTTTGGCCACGGAGTCGTTTCACCAATTGATTACTTTGTTTCAATGTGGCTTGCATCATTTCTGGGATCGAAATTAAGTATTACTTATATTAAAGTTATATGAATTTCGCGGACAACTCATTTCCACGGTCCAATGACAAAAGGACGAAATTCGACTTTCAGAATGCAACCTACTATGACGCACACAGACGAGTTGTCAGGCAAAATACCTAGACCATAGATACAAAGCAACTCACGAGCGTTTAACCTCGTGAATCGTTGGGTGTCAGAAGCAAGCGAAACCCTTCCTGGGTCTGCCGGCAGCCCTGACTGAGGCAAACGCCTCTCACCTTTTGCGCTCGGCGTCGGCATGTTTAATTTACCTCCTGCTGTTCCTTTTCAGATGATACAGAGATTCTGTCTGTTTTACCCCTTGGGCATCCATTCCTAGATCAGTCTTGATGTTCCCGAGGGTGTGGATGACGATGACGGTATGGCCTTGTCAAGTTTTCCGTCAAAGTCAACAGTCTCCAATATGGAAGCGTTCCTGATTTTAGCGGTGTTGAAGTACGTCCCCACTTGCCGTTCTCAGCAATGAATAACACGACGTTCCTTCCTGGTGCGTGGCAGCATGTGCGTTACGCCTGTACGCGCATTCTGGCCTTATCTAACTGTTTTCGTTCCTCGTATGTTGATGCAGGCCAGTCCCGCACCTATGAAGGTCACAATTGGCCTACAGCATATGGCTATACGGAATCCCGAGGGATTCGGCACCGTTTGCCTTTTCCCCGGGTTTTGGAATGCCTTGCTCGCAGTGGGGTCGGGCTCTAGGCCCGGGTTGTTGATCAGCCTTGTCAATCGGTTTGATAAGAACGGTAGGATGACCGACATTAACCTAGGTGCCAGGACCTCGCGAAAAGGTACCCAGAGTAAGCTGGTGGGAATGCCGAATTGTCCTTCGTGTCTGTTTGTTTGGGTTTCCGATAGCTGATGACTGCGCAAATGGTGAGTAGAATTTCCTACCTCAGCCCCGAGGTATGCTCCAACTTTGTGTCTGGTTATGACTTCGTTCTGTCTTTATCGCGATCGCACTGCTCAGCGTTTCCGTTGAGGTGCTGGTCCTTTGCTCTATGTGCCGCCTCATGACTTAATGCTCTACTTGTCGTTTTATTGTCATGCTTAGAGTAGCCACTATTAAAATTGTTTCCTTGTCTGGCAATGTTAAGCTATGGCCTTTAGGTTAAACCCCTGATGGAAGTATATGGGATCATAATCTTCTGATGGGAACAAATGTGCATCGGGAGGTCGATTACCGTAATCCGCAAGAGGTTCACAAATAGCGCGGAATGATTACACGTGGAAGACGACAATTGGTGTGAGCACCGCTATGAGCCAAAAAAAATATGTGAATACATGAATACAAGATTGAAAAGAACGCCCTGAACATCATGTCCTTCCTAAGCATACGACCAAACAAAACTCTTTTCCCCCTTCCGCGCACCAACCCCCCCTGGACCGCTCCCACCCACCCTCAACCAGAACTCCAATGGAACTGTCTTCCGCCACCACCGAAAGGCCCGCCTTGCCCAAACGGCCCACCCTGCTGGAAGAACATATGTTGGAAGGGATTCCCACCTCCCCCGAAATGGAAGGGGTGTCCTCCAGAAGGTCCACGTCCAGACTCAGGATCGTTGGGGTCATCCCCGTTGTCGAATCGAGCCCGAAGTTCAGGCTTCGAGAGGACTTCGTACGCTTCGTTTACCGCTGCCATTTTGGCTTCAGACCCGCCTTTGTCAGGGTGAGCTTTTAAGGACGCCTTCCGACTTCAGAAACAGGATGGTTCAGGGCCACAGATATATGGTGAATAGTTGTGGGGAACAAACAAAAAGAAAACTTACAATGCTTTCTTGATCGTCTTGGTGTCAGCGTCACGGGCCACTCCAAGAACTTTGTAGTAATCCTTTTTTCTTGCCTGTTTCAAAAGTCGCCTTGCTTTTTCTAGTTGTTGAGCAATCTGGGGGCGAGGAAAGAAAGAAAAATATTAGAGGCAACATCATGATGATATGACAGATGTTGTTCTCACCTCATGACTCCGTCCACTCGCCTCGAATGCTTTCTCGAATAACCGAACGGCCCCCTCCCATTCTTCCTTCTTCAACTGGGCTTCGGCCTTTCCAACTAAGCCTTCTAGGTTGTTCTCATCCATGTTTAAAGCTTCGTCACACCAAGTCTCTGCCTTGTTAAATTGAGATGACTTGACATACGCCTTGCAAGCAAGCGTGTACAGTCGAAGTCGTCTTGGAGAGAATTTCCGCGGTTTCAGCGAAGAAGGAAGCTGTAAATGGAGGGTGGAAGCATCAAGTACTCCGTCAAATTTCTTTGCGAGCCCAGTTGGCTCGCTGGAGCCCCCCGCAATTATACGAATGAGGCCAGACCAGTTCTCGACCTCCTCGAAAGTGCTTAGTTTTCCAAAATCCTTTTCGAACGCCTTTAGGGTTCGGTGAGATGTGCGGCAAGGCTTGGAATCAGGATCGAAATGCAGGCATTGTTTGAGAGTCTGGAGAGCTTGCGAGCTCTGGGGAAGGAGGAAGTACGACATGTTGGCAATTTTTTGGAAAAGCTCAGTGGATGGTTGTAAGAGGTGTGTGAGACGTCTGAAGAACAAGAACTTGTTCGTCAACAATGACTTGACACATGCCATCAGTCGGGAATTTACTCACGTCATATCGCCGACAGCTTGCTCAACGTCGCCTGCCCCCAAAGCGCAGTTGAGCCGCATTTCACGTAACCATACTGCATGTGAGGCGGTGGCTAAGGCATTGGTGGAATGTTCAACGCATTCATCGTATTTCTTTGCTTTTTGAGCAGCTAGTGCTTTCTTCGTGATCACCTCTCCATCTGATATCGCGAAAAGCTTAAAGAGGCGATCAGTCGTCCGAACACTAGAACTGGTTTAATTACCCACGAGGTCCTGACCCTCTTTATCTCCTGTCCCGACTTTCTTCGTGTATTTCTTGACTAGAGCTTTTGCCTCGGCCCAATTGGCTTCCCGTGCAAGAATCTTCGCTTTCATGAGCAACGCTTTGTCAAAGTTCCCATTTGTGAGCCGTAGAACAGTCTCAAAGTCCTCAAGAGCATTAGAGTGTCGATTTATCGAAAAGTAGGCAGTGGCACGTTTATAGTATAAAAGGTAGTCATTCGGCGCGTGCTCTGTGAAATAGAAATGTACGTGTCAGCAGAGCATGTGCTAGGGCCGGTAGATACACCCACCCACCGAGGGCCTCGGTATAAGTCTTCGCGGCGTCGGCAAATTGACCCACGGAGAGATATGCATTTGCTCGTTGAACGAGCGGTTTGAGCGTTGGGGACTGTAGTCCACCGTCTGTATCGGGTGATGCACGAGCCAGCGCTAAAAGGACACAGGAAAGGATGGCATAAGGCAACCGCATTGTTCTGCCCTGTCGAAAGATGGAGCTTTCCGGGGGAAGGACAGGTGTTGAATTGGCTGAAGTTGATAAAGAGGCACTAGTGGAGGACAGAGATAGTGCGCCTGGCAATATGCCCGTTGTACTCAGCTCAAGAGACGGACACGTTGAATTGATGTCTATTGATGTTGAACGCTTGTTCCCGCATGGCACGGCCACGTTGGACTTGCTCGATTTGGAAACAGGCAGCACAGCCAGCATCGATCAATTTACGCGACCACTGGAACAACCACTCGTGAGCCGCTAATATTAACATATTGATAGCTAAGCGTAGGAATATCATTAATACCACTAGAACACAGATTCTGTTCTGTGTGGATGCGACGAAGTGAACGTTGTGTGACCAGATGATATGATCGGCCCTCCACAGGGAGGGTACCAGCCTCTTAGAGGTGACAGTAGTACTTTGCTGTGATCGCAAAGGAAATTATGCATGGCGAATCAACCTAGCATGGATGTTAATACCATACTAAGTAATAACAATGCAACCCATGCCAAATTGGCACGATCAAGACACGATTCGAAAATCGACGGAGCAAAGCACAAAATCAATCCACCACACACCTACACCCTCAAATACTATCTCTCTCATCAACCATCTTCAACCCCGTCCCCGTCATAGCAGTAATCTCGTTCAATTTATCCTCCTGCTTATCCAAATGCCTGAAACAAATCCAAAACGCAATCCCACTCACGAACCCAATGATGGCCGCACTCCCATAATTCCAAATCAAATGAGGATCCGCAGCCAATGGGTTCAACGCCTCCGTGATCGCGCTCGAAATCGCAGTCATGAACAGAAAAACGCTCATCACGACCGATCTCATGTTCTTCGGTGCTTTCGTAAAGGCGTATTCGAGACCGGTGATGGAAGCGAAGATCTCGCTGAAGGCGATGAGGATATACGAACCCGATTGAATCCAGACGTTCAAGTGGGAAGGAGTATCGCAGGAATTGGCTTGATAGCCACAAGGTGAAGTCTGATAGATGTAATATTGAACGACGGCCGCCCAGACCATTGCTGCTACGGCAGTCATAAATCCAAAGAAGATCCTCTTTATCGGTGTGAATCGAATTCCCATCCGTGCAAACCACGGATAAATGACATAGTCACAGATGGGGATAAAAATGATCAAAGCGAGTGGGTCCAAATTGTTGATGACGTCGTTGGGGACTCCGTTCGTTGTCATCGTTGCTGCTTGGGATGTGAGCGTAGAGTTGAGAGGGTTATAGCATATCCAGTAACAAGGGAAGAACAAGAAGACTTGACACGCCTTCAGCCCTCTCCTGACTTCATCCACGAAAATATCATCATACGTCAGCCAAGAAGGTCGTCCCCCTTCAGGCTGAGACTTCAGAATCCTGCTAGGCTTCGCCTTCTCCCAGAAATCAGGATGAGTCCAATTTCTCCAAGTCTGAACTGGGCTCGACCAGACGACTGTACCCTTCATTGCGGTCCTCCAAACTCGTAAAGCCTCGACGACGATCGAGCCCTGAGGGGGACTTTGTTTGTACCGATGTCTACCGAGGAACAGTACGATGGGGCAAATGAAGAAGAAGACAGTCGGGAGTGTGTAGGCTAACCAGAAACCGACGTATTTTTCAGAGTAGGTCATCCCTAGCTGACCAACGAGAGCTCCGACGTTGATGAGGAGGTAGAAGTAAAGGTAGATGCGTGCCGTCGTCACAGCGGGATCGACGATGACTCGGGTGCCATCAGAAAGTGTCTTAATACGCATGGAAGACACTTGATACTGCTCAGCGACAAGAGGTGAAATATTGGCCTTGAATCCACCGGCTAAGGGACAAAAGATAAAGGGCTCAGGGTAAATGCAATAAAAACAAATACTTACTTCCCAATCCCATAACAATCAACGCAAGCGTAAAACAGGCCAACGCCCCACTAGAATGCTCGATGACACCCGGAACACTGCTCACGATCAACAAAACGTGCCCAATCATCGCAATGAACACAGCCCAGGAAATAGTTTTATAACGCCCCAATTTCGTATCCGCGATGTAAGCGCCGAACAAAGGAATAACGTAGACCCAGAATTGGTTGAAGGTGGTGAGACCTGTGCGGCTTGGATGCCCCGCCCAAGGGCTCCTGAAACGTGGTCATGGCCACCTGCACCGGTGCGCGAGCCGCGTGGGAGAGGCTGCTGACTGAGGGTCGAGTCCATGTCGAAGGCCAAGCAGTTCAGCTAAGTAGTCAATTGACGGTGTGAGGGTGGGAAAACATACATGAAGTTGGTAAAGACTGCCGTAGAGCCATAGTAGGAAAACCGTTCCGCCATCTCGACTATACCAATGCTGTACGCGGTCCAAGGTCTAGAACACAAATTCAGAGTATAATTAGCATCATTTGCAATTCATCGAAAATCGATCGGGTCGTCGATTTCCATATGAGCTAGATTCGGGTTTGAGTTCGGGCCCGTCTAACGTCACGGCAGAAGAACGAGGACGGAGAGGAAAATGGCACACTCACACCTTATCAGCAATTCTCCCAAGCCTATTGGGACCCGATTTTTCATCTTCGGTGGGTAAGACCCACAATTCACCCTCCGGCGTGACTTCAGGATGATGTAGGACGTCGCCTCTTTGACTTGATCCTGCCTTCTCGATGCTTCCTGCATGAAAACTCTCCTTTTCGTCCCCGAAGACTTTTTCCTGCTCGACGCGAGCCATGGTGGCGAAGATCTGGTCTTGAATATCGGTGGTACTGGGTGTTGATGAAGGGAAAACAGTGAAAAGCGGTGAAATGTTGAATGTAGGGCGGGTGAGGGCGTCAGAGGGTAATTCGATAAATGACAGAGGGACTTACGCGGGCATCAGGCTCTGTTTAGGTTACTAGATGGCACGCCCAGACCACGTCGTCAAACGACAAGGACGAAAGCCCGGAAGAAAGAGGCGGAGGAGAGGGGAAAACTAGGGCTACTCCGTGGAAAGGGACGAAGTGCGTGGTTAAGTATGAGGAAGAAGCAGTAAGTAACATGTTGTGATCCTACAAGTGGAATCGCTCGGGTAAGGGTGAAATGAAAAAGAAGCCAGAAGACAGTTCAGCTCTGTACCCGAATGGATAAATACAAATGTAGCAGTGTTTGCACACTGTTGCATACCGCTTTCAGCCACTGAGCACGACGAGTACCAAGTTCCAACTGCCCAAATTAATCACATAAATACCGACTAGATCAGCTGAACGTCGGAAATTAGAGCAGTATTGGACAGTCCTGGGGTGGATCGATATGCAGCACGTGCATTGATCAGGGACCTGCGATAAGGAGTCCCCTCCAGATCAAAGAACCCAACGCCACACCATATGGCACACTCACATCAGGTGACTACATTTTGGCCTCAATTGTTCAATGTTGTATTCATAAAGTCATCATTGCAATGCTCATTCCAGTATCGTCGATCCGCGAACACCGGATAGCCAAATCACAAGATGGAATGTCCATATGACGATTGCCAAAAAATGACTGGAATGCCCCTTCTCAAGATCGCACTTCAACTGCGACACATGTTGAGAACATGTATAGTGTCGATCTGCGAAATGCACTGCCGGAAGGACCAGTGAATATTGTGCGTGTTATCTGCCGTATACACCGCAATCCAGGGATGGATATAAGATGACGAAGTAATGTGGTCTTCCATAGTGCACTTCCGCCAAATGCGCAATCACCAACTCAGCGTAGCCGAGTGGAAGGCAATTAATATACAGGGAAGCTGCTCTACGATTGGATGCGAAGTCGAATGTAACCAACTGCCGGGGAGCACATGCAAGATCACGAGCCAGACGCGGTAGACCAAAATCTGCGATCGACCTTTGGGAAGGGGGGAGCCGGAGTAAGCAGGTTCTTTGGGGTTTGACTTGTTCTGTCACCCAAAACCTCACCTTGCCAACCAGATCTACGCAAGCCGGGCCCTTTAAAATCGAATTAGGATTTCGAGGCTCTGCTGGCAGACGATATTGCGTGTGAATCTTTTGCTCGTGGAACATTGGGACGTGAGTTCCAGCATGATCGTTGTGTTGTCGTTGTCTTTCGCGCCCGATGTTGACGGTTAAGCATTGCTGGACTCCAACCTCTTATAAGCCAATTATGAAAAATCTTTGTCCTACATTTAGACTAATAGTTGGGGATAGAACTGAAGAGTCGTGGCCCCCTATCTACTGCTCACAGTGATAGTGTAGCATGATGGATGGACGGATTGTTGTTTGTCAGTGTATTGCATATATTATGATGAACCCGCGCGCAATGAACTGAATGTCGACTGAAAGATGCCTCATGATGTCACAAATCTGTTCAGCTCCCGTTGGTCTAAAATATAGGCTGGCCCATTCCCATGTCGCTGGAGCAAAGGCTGACGTTCTTGAGCACGAAGTCGATGGTCTCGTTGCAGCAGGCGTGACTTCGCTATCCTGTCTCGCAGCCATCAGTTCCAGGTTTGATGTTTTCCCTCCCGTAAAAAGTGCTAGCAGTGGCGCCCTCTTCATCTCCAACCAGGTCAAAGTGGGTAATCATTGTGTCTCATGACGTATAGAGGCTAAGATTTTGCGTTATGCAGGGATCTCAAGAGAACAAGGAAGGGTGGGCAAGCTTTGGCAGATATGTGGTGGACGTCGTGGCAGATGCAGTTGTATCAACTACATCCTATGCCCGACGTGCTGGAGAAGCCAACCAGTGGGCGGAGGGCATCACGAAACTTAACGAGTAAGTCGTCTTTATGTTTTTTTGCCCTTAATATTCCTATTATGTGACACACAGCGCGCTGCACGAGATTACGTACCAGATGAGAGAAGAAATGGTGGGACCGTTGGCTATCATGAATCCACCATCGGACTCAAGACGGATCGATAGTCTCAAGAAATATCAGTACTTACTTCACGATCTTTCCGTTCTTTCCTGATTCACGTCTCAACGATCTCAAGTCTCTCCCGTCTGCACTTCCAGGATCATCCAGCTGCAGACAGTACGATCCAGTTCTCAATCAGCTTCTCTATCCCCGCGATGTTCATCACGATCCGAGAAAGGTTTGTCTGGAGGGCACCAGGACTACACTCATTGAACGCATTATGGCCTGGTGTCGTAGCACGGAGGATAGCGAAACGCGTTTGATGCTCCTGATCGCCGTAGCTGGTTCTGGCAAAACGGCGATTGCCCACTCAATTTCGGAACGATGTGCGAGAGAAGGGATACTGTTGTCAAGTTTCTTCTTCAAAGCGGGAAAGCGGTGGCGGCCTGACTTTCTGTTCAGCGCAATAGCTAGATCATTAGCTGCCTATGATCCCGTTTACCGCGCCTTCATTAAATCCACTCTTCGGAAAGACCCTTCCCTCTCAAGCGCTCCGTTATTGTTATCGACCCCTTGGACGAATGCGAGTAGAACGCGTTAAGCTCCTTGCTGATGTACTTCGGAAAGAGGTGTCTACATTGCCGTCCTGTCAAAATCTCTCACTTCGAGGGAGGGTAGCCTTGTGAATCGTTTCCTCTCGCTTGCCCTTCCTATCCAACGTCTCATCATTGATCTTTCGAGTGAGGAAAACATGCAAGATTGTGCCAAGTATGTCTACACTGCTTGAAAGGGCCGCCTCTCGGTTTCGCGGAGCGACTTGGCCTGCAACGACAGATCTCAGAGCAGTCCGGTGGCTTGTTCATTTGGATCAGCATCATCTTTCGCTATGTGAAAACGAGCAACGAGCCTTCGGTGTCGGTGCTGAAGGAAGTGTTGGAGGCTGCTCTCAACCGAACAGCAGCCTTCGCTGGGATCATGGACGACTTTTACATGTTTGTATTGAAGAAATGTAACTGGGACGATGAAAAGTTTGCTCATGATTACCCAATTGTGTTGGGAGCAATTTCAATATCGCAGCCGCTTTGTGTTGCGGTCTGGGATGGCATTTTATCACCACTCCTTAATTCCTCGGTCAAATATATGTTGGACGAACTCGTGCCCCTTTTGCTCCGGATTGCAGTCCCTCGCATGCCAATTCGTTTTGTCCATCAATCTTTCCGTAGCTTTATCACGGACCAAGCTGGTTCGCTACCGTCCGGCCTTCGTCATTACGCGGTGGACGCGTGGGATGCGTGTGCCAATATGGCCATGCGGTGCATCGGAATTTTGAGGGAGGGTCTTGGGTTGATTAGAGATCTGTGGAGAGAAATCGAACTGCCGCGCATCCCTTCTGAGACGCTATCCGAGCACTTCCGTTGCGCAGTTGTCACATCGTTTATCATCTCGATCGAGTTCAGGAGCCGTCAGAGACCCTCCGGGGGTTGGTTCGCGCGTTTCTCGATCATCACATAATTCAATGGGTGGAAGTTTGTTTGAGATCTGGGCGGTACATCAGCATATCGTCACTCCCCGAGTGGGCGAAGGTATGAATCATCATATAGCATTCACGAAACCATTTCAATTCCATCTCATTTCCTTTACAGCTGGATCTTGGTTCAACTTCAAAGGAGGCCGCCCACATGTTGGTCAAAGTACTCACCAAGCTTTGGGATAATTTGGCGTATTTTTCAAGGTTCGAAGAGGCACATGAGGCAGTGAATGAATCTGTTGTACTTTGTCGTTTGCTTGTGTCTGTGGGCCCAGAATCCCACGCCTCGGATTCGGCTCAATTGCTCACGGATTTGCTCACATCACTCCACAAGGTCGGATGGCATTCCAGGGAAATCACAGTGGTCGGAGAATGTGTCAAACTTGGTCACCAGCTAGTTGCTGTTGATCCGGCATTACACGCCCCTGGTTTGGCTCACTCTCTTGACAATCAAGCCGTCATACTTCGCAGTCTCGGACGAGGTTTCGAGGCACTCCGAGTGAATGAAGAATGTGTCAAACTCCGTTTACCCTTGACCCGGCATCACACACCCCGGGTTTGGCTCACTCCCTCAACAATTACGCTTTCACACTGAACTGTCTTGACGAGATTCCAAGGCACTTCGAGTGAATGAAGAAAGTGTCAAACTCCGTCGCGGGCTAGTTGTCCTTGATCCGGCATCATACAACCGTTTGGCTGCATCCTTTGACAATGAAGCTGTTACATGCAGCAATATCGGACGAAGCTTTGAGGTACTCCCAGTGCATGAAGAATGTATCAGACTCAGTCCTCAGCTAGTTTTCCTCGATCCGGCATCACACAACCCAGGTTTGGCTGCATCCCTCGCTAGTCAGGCTATCATACTCCGCAATCTCGGACGATGTTTCGAGGCACTGGGAGTGAATGAAGAATGTGTCAAACTCTGTCGCGAGCTAGTTGCCCTTGATCCGGTATCACACAACCCGAGTTTGGCTGGCTCCCTCCACAATCAAGTCACCACACTTAGCAATCTTGGACGAGATTTCGAGGCACTTCGAGTGAATGAAGAATGTGTCAAACTTTGTCGCGAGCTAGTTGCCCTTGATCCATCATCACACAACCGGAGTTTGGCTCACTCCCTCCACAATCAAGCCTTCACACTTCACAATCTCGGACGATATTCTGAGGCACTCCGAGTGAATGAAGAAGGTGTCAAACTCTGTCGTGCGCTAGTTGCTCTTGATCTGGTACCACACAACCCGAGTTTGGCTGGCTCCCTCCACAATCAAGCATTCACACTCCGCAATCTCGGACGATATTCTGAGGCACTCCGAGTGAATGAAGAGTGCGTCAAACTTTGTCGCGAGCTAGTTACCCTTGGTCCGGCATCACCGAGTTTGGCTCACTCCCTCCACAATCAAGTCGCCACACTTAGCAATCTCGGACAATATTCAGAGGCACTCCGAGTGAGTGAAGAATGTGTAGTAAATGTAATAACAACCCCAGGCTGGATGGCGCAAGGGCACGTGAAGAAAATAGATTTTTATTTTTGGTCAGAGTTTGAATCCGATCTTTGTTTGTTTGTTTGATAATATCGGGGAGTAAGCGAGAACGGCCCTGAATCACGTGCTAATCTTACTCCCTTAGTTTGAATTGATATTGAAGTGTTATGGAAAAATGATTTTCAACTCTGTTACGGCCTGTATGGGTTGCCCAGTGGCTCGGTTGTAGCTTGTCTGTTGCATTATGGGGGTGCTTTGGTTCAAGTCCTGCTTGGGGTTGTTTTTTGTTTTGTTGTTGTTTTGTCTGTTTGTTTGTTTGTTTTGTTTGGGGCCTTCCCATTCAAGTCGATTTCATTGATACTAAGGTGCTTCAATGACTTTGTATAAGTATTGGATGGTCATGGTTCAACTTCAACTTGTGAACCGCAGGCAGGCAAAATAAAGTATAAGTCCACATCAGAGAATCGAACTCCGACACATTCAATACTCAACAACGCCAAACAACAATTTAGCCACTAGGCAACCAGTGACAGCAATATGATACCACAAATTAATTTCTCTATAAAGTGTTAAAATCAATTCAAACTCAGAGAGTTAATGGCCGCACGTGATTCAGGGAGTAAGGGTCTTCTGATATTTTTGCGGTAAAAAATTCTCTAGTTGGTTTCGAAATCAAAAATTATTTTTTTGATATCTCACATGCCCTTGCGCCATCCAGCCTGGGGTTGTTATTACATTTACTAAGAATGTGTCAAACTCTGTCATGAGCTAGTTGCCCTTGATCCGGCATCTCACACCCGAGTTTAGCTCACTCCCTCCACTCATGCTCCACAATCTCGGAAGAAATTATGAGGCACTTCAAGTGAATGAAGAATGGGTCAAACTCTGTTGCGAGCTAGTTGCCCTTGATCTGGCATCACACAACCCAAGTTTGGCTCACTCCCTTTACAATCATGCCATCACACTCCACGATCTCGGACAAAATTCCGAGGCACTCCAAGTGAATGAAGAATGTGTTAAACTCCATCACGAGCTAGTTGCCCTTGATCCAGCATTATACAACCCAAGTTTGGCTGACTCCCTCCACAATCAGGCCTTCACACTCTGCAATCTTGGATGATATTCCAAGGCACTTCAGGTGAATGAAGAATGTGCCAAACTCTGTTGTGAGCTAGTTGCCCTTGATCCAGCATCACACAACCCAAGTTTAGCTCACTCCCTTGTCAGGGCACACTGTGCTGTGCCACTCCCCTCTCCTTCTTCACCTTCCTCTTTCTTTCTTTCCTTCCTCTTCTTCTTCTCTATCTTTATATGGACGACCCCCCTTTTTCTTACATCTGTAGCATGGATGTGTCTGATGCTGGGCATCCCATACAAGTACTGTGATCCCAGATGCACTGTGCATTCCTACTTGTGTCTCTCTTCTCTGACACTCAAGATTGACTGCAGAGCCACCCATGACAACCTGGCTTCACCTGAGGCTAATGTGGCACCTCCACATGACCTGTTTTCACATGTATATTGTCATATCCATCTACAGCCATCATCCTCCACTACCTCTGATCCTTCTTCACTAACCTTGGAGCCCCCATATTCTGCAATCACCTCCAACTCCCTCGATGGTCACCACCCCCTCAATTCAATATATTACCTATGCCTCCCTAAGTATGGAGCCCCAAAGGCCTCTGGACAGCTCCAACGTCTGCTAGCACACTCCCACCCCTGCTGGGCAATTCACTTGCTTGCCCTGCAAGTCTACCTTCAGGCCTATCCCTCCTTTCCATTTCTGGGTTATAGCCTGCCATTCTGCTAACCCTGTAACCTGACTTGTCAGTAATATTCAGTCAGCTAATGTTTAACTCCGTTAGCTCTGCTCCACTTGGTCATGCCATTCACAGGCCTGCCCTCGCTGTAACTATATATACTTAACTTGTAGATAGGTTACACCCTAATGATAAAAATCGACTAGAGTTGATCCCCCTTTTAGTTCTCGCTGCCAGTAAGTAAATTAGGGCACAGATGTGTTACTAGGCACAGCACTCCTGGTCTGAGTTGCTGAGGCTGAAGCCCTCCACCATGGAGACATCTCCTTCATCTCACTTCTGGTCTCTAACATATATAAACTAAGCTGAAGCAGGACCGAAGAAGCAGCCTTCTTCTCACTCCCACTTCAGGCAAGTAGTTCAGCCTAGTTTAGCTTTCCACTTTAATAACAATACACTCCTGCTTCAGCCTAAGAAGCCACACAGGGACACAAGCCTGAGTGAGGGCTGTCCACCATATGGTCCCACCGCCCCACATCAGCAAACTTGGTAGGGAGCTCTCAGAGCTCACATGTTAGAGACTGGAGCAAGATGAAGGAGTCGTCTGTCAGAGATCTGGATTAATGTCAGAATCTGGAATGCTGTCAGAGTCGGAAGTACTGTCAGAGACTGGGGATATTGTTAGAGTCTGGCAGACTGTCAGAAGACGGATGGAAGATGGATTGGGTTCTGTCTGAGTTGAGGTCGGAGGTGATGCAGAGGTCTGTTGGAGCGCGCGCGCGGATATGTGGGCAGAAATATGCGGCGCGTCCAGAAGTGCTGTTCAAGGTTAGCAGAGTGGGATCGCGGCCTCAGCGACTCAGGTGGAGCACTGTGCCCTGAGCTTGACGTTTGGGGGAGATCCCATATTTATGGACTGACACTTACAGTGGACTTCAAACAAGACTTGCGGGCGGAGCGGACCTATAGGAGGAGCACGGACTCCATGAGCACGGACTCAGAGGGGGGGAAGCCCCCTTTGCAGAAGGAGAGACTCAGACCAGACAGGGGGGGGTACTCTAGTTGATTTCAGACTGAGGTCCCCAAAAGTATTTACAAGGTATATAAATAGGCAAGAGGGAATATAGAAAGGCTGGTCAGTCCGGCGCGGTCCGGCGCGGAGATAAGCGGGGATTGTCAAACTAAATAAGGACAAGAGCCTGGGAACTGGAAACGAGGAACAGATCAATAAACAATAAGTGGCAAGGGTTATTGATGAATAACTGAATGAGATCAATAACCAGTGCCAATAAAGAGGGGATCAAATGCCGATATTGGCAGGGAAGCAAACAATAAATGGCACTCGGCAAGGAATGAATGATAAGCTGCCAAGTGACAAATGGCCAGAGGAAAAGCGGAGGTCAGCGCGTGGCACCGATACAAGTCTGCAAATCAGGATGCAGGGTCGGTGCAATGCCGACACAAGTCCGCAAAGGGATGCGGGAATCAGCATGGTGCTGATGAGTCCGCAACAGAGGGTGGTCTGTCAGTGCTGTCACAAAAAGACAGCATGATGGACAGCAAGATACGGAGGGGAGTGTTGACCTGACCAGAGGTGTCAAGGACAACCAGAAATGGACAGAGGTTGCGGAAGGTGCGGAAGCGGTGCATGGTCGATAGAACAGACATTGGGTTGGGGCTGGTAAGGATGGGTTTGGGTCGGCGGAATTGCCTGTCAGCATTGATTCGCCGCTGACGGAGCCCTGGGATTTGTCAGTCGTGACATTGTCTCTGTGGTGGAGGGCTTTGGCCTCAGTGACTCAGACCAGGAGCGCTGTGCCAAGTTACACGTTGTAGGAGAAATAACGGCCACACTATGGAAACCCATTATGGAAATATGCCAGATAAATCACAAAACCTCATACGACAAGTAGATATGAGAAAATAGAAGGACCTGAATTTTAATGAATTTTACGAATTTTTACGAATTATTATGACTATACACGATAAATCGAAAGAAGGAAAAATAGCAAAAATACTTCAAGCTTACCATCAACGAGATGGAATTCTCGGGGGAATTTATAGCAAATATTAAACCAAGAATTAGGACAATCGACCAAGATTTGACTATAAAAATAATCAGAGAACCTCCACGGAAACTACTTTCCCATGTCCACACACATATCCAAGGATGGAAGTACCACGGAACAAAGATTCCTCAGGAACTAATGCAAAAGTCAAAGTCGTGTTTATAATAGGAAATGTAGATGTCCCCCAAACGGAACCAATGAGAGTAATTACAGGGGAAACTACCCATTAACGACGGAGATATGACTAAAACTCCTGCAAAACGAGGACAATGTCTAAAAGGCAAGCGCGAAGATTAACTAGTAACGACCGAGACAAGCTTGATAGCCCATTAGAAAGGAAGGATCTAATCTTAATCCTCCCAAAGTTTCATAATAAAAGGATCATGCATTAATGAGATATCCAATAACAGGAATAGCGACATCAAAAGTCCGAGCTCAGGGAAAAGATGATGTTTGCGTAGGATCCATAATTAAAACATACAACGAAATTTACACAGAAATTATTAAAAATGGGGAACTATAGTTATGCAAATTTTCAGCCCAAACGGTCCAGCCATTGTAAAGTTATACCCATGACGGGAATATAGAAATCTGCATCATGTATAATGACACGTGAGGGTGGCGATGCGCAGGGAACCGGCCGTCGGAACCGAGATCCGCACTTCGGCAGATCGCGAAGACCAATTTCCGTCCAAATAAGGAAGAGCCCGGTCAAAACAAAGCACGGAAAGTGCAAAACAACCTTAGATCATGAGGGAAAAATCTGAAATAAATCACAGAAGCCCATATGAAAGAAATAAACACCCGCGCATATCATAAATCCTGAACAATTAAACGAAAACGGCTCCCGCATACAAACGACTATGGGAACGACGCATGTGATTACCGAATGTGCACGCAAATCTTTGCTAACTCAACGAATACCAGGAAATAGGACACAACCTTAGTACCATTGGAAAGGTGGGAATAAATAAAAATTTATGATACCAAGAACGTGAGAAAACATCCAGAAATGAATGAGATACAAGGACATGAAGTTAGAAACCTGAAAACGCGTGGGAAGACAGCTTCAAGAGGTCCAGAGTCCTAAATAAAATAGATAAAAATATGATATCTTCAAGGACAACCTACTATAACAACCAACAATACATATGGAGGATTAGGTTGTGATAATACAAAGGGGAATCAGGGAATATGAACGAAATTCACGAAAACCACTAAACTACGACGGACCATGGCGGGAATTTTAGGGAACGATGTTCTAATGAAGTGGAGAGCTATAACACATTCGTTTGAGTAATTCTTGACTACTAGCAACTTTTCTTTCAGTTTTAAACCTGAATAATTCACTCATTTATCATTTCAGTCTCATTTTAACTAAATGTCACTAAATAAAAATTGGAATAAATCAGCTGAAGGTCTCAGCACAGCCGTACGCATAGTAATGCGAAGTTTGAATTCAGAATCATCGAGTCATAGCAAATTTAATGGTATATATAGGGAATTTGAAATAGGTAACTGCGACAAATACAGTGCAGCCAAGTTCCAATTAACTATTATAATAGCTTAGGCAAGGGAGGACAATAAGAATTCTAGGCACAGTCTGACCGCAGTAGAACCGCAGTTCAGCGCAGCACAAGCGCAGTAGAACTATAGCATGAAAATTTCATTTTTTATTCAGTTTGAGAAAAATACACTGTAAATAAATCCTGTAAATAGAAGGTAGAGCGTGAAAAGGAAGGCGACCCAAGGAGTATAAAAGGGAGACCCTTTCTGCGACTTTTCGCCCCCCTTAGAGAAGTAAGAAAATAGAGTATTATTTTTCTCAAGCATTTCTGGTTGTCACTCCAGTGCGAAAAAGTGATATACAGTTAAGATTGCCACTGTAGTAAAAGGCAGCAATAAAGGAGAGAAATATTAAGTAGATATTTCAACAGGAGAGCTGGTTAACACTCCAGATTTCAAAGTGTAAACACACAAAACAGTTATTTTGCTACTGTTAAAACAAGCAATAAAATAAGACAAAAATAAAACAAACTCAAGGGACACTCCAGACACAATCCAAATCCATTAACTGATTAGAATCTTTGAAACTTCACCAAGTAGAAGATTAAAATCCAAATTAAACAACGCTACACAGAATTACACCTAGACAAATTAATAAATTTCAATAAAGAAACAGCTCCGCAGGGCTCGGTTTATCTGTAAGTCAATTCCCAGGAACTTTAAAACTAACCCATAAAAATAGAATTAGCCAAAACACTCGGATTGGTACTATATTTACAATA